TTTACAAAATTTATTGCATATTTTTAGTCACTTTGAAATGAATATTAAAAGTGATTTCAGCCTTTAAGTTGTTACGTAATTTTTGAATAAAATTAATTTTTTTGCATTTAAATTTTCCAATTATCTATATTCCGTATTGCTGTACATACCTAAAAGGTGGATATGTAAAAATTTGATATAAATAACATTTTATTTCTTTTAATCCATAATTCAGAACATTTTGCATAGATTTATATAAAATATATGAGATTAAATAGCACATTTACGAAAAATGCAGTAAAAGGTAATTGGAGATTTATGCAAATTTTTTACCAAAATGTGCACTTGTACCAGTAAAGAGGAGAAGACTCGAACCAAATTTTACCAAGTCATTCGCATATGCAAAGAAAACATAGGAAGACTTAGATCAATTATTATCAAATATATAAGTTTTGGTATCGTAAAATACGTGGAATATCTACGTGAATTTCTATCTAAAGTACAATATAGTTAATTACCAAATTCAGTAAACGACTGTAGCGCAAAAGAAAACATCATACATTTAGGTTATTTAAATGAGTGTGCTAAATTTTAAAATTGTTAAATATGGACCAGGAGGGATATTGTAGAAAACCAGGCGGGTTAACTTCTATCTGGATACAAACCCTTTATTAACGCTTTGAAATTTACACTGTGTCAACTCGACTCTAACAAACTTCGCCTCTACTTGGCCGGTATCTGAAAAGCAGTTAATTTAAAATCCAAAGTTGAAATGTTTAACTAGTGCTAAACTAACCTACAGGGCTAAACGAGGTACCGAACTTTGATCCCCTTCTCTATAACTAGCGGCAGAAGATAAATGCATTTAAGCCACTTAAACCAGCAATCAGCAATTGTACGTATGGCAGAGGCTGCTGCTCGAGCCCAATTCTCTAACTTCCCTTCTAAAACCTCAATATTTAAACTTTCCTCCTCAAAGTAGAATTTGTATTCTCGTCACGTGCGCTACCAAATTTAACTATTCTGGCCTGACAGTTTAGGAGAATGAATGCTTATAGTTCAGACTTATATTATAGTCTGAACTAAAATTTAAATTATTAGTTAAAATAAATATAAATCCCTACAACGTAAAATCCAAATTATCCTTTTCAAGAATTTACAGACAGAATAAATATTTAAAAAAATACAGTTTATGATGTCTTGAAGAAGATTAAGTATGTAATCTGCTATAATGCACAAGTATCCCATAAAAGAGCATAAATGACATAATATACTTGCTTGAGTTTTTGCATGTTATTCGTAGTTGAAATAAAAATAAAGGAGCTTTTTTTTTAAATTGCTAATTATGGAGGGTGAGAAATGGATACTGAACAATGTTATAAGAAAAAAGAAATAATTTTTTAAGGAAAAAAAAAAAAAAAAAACTTTGGTAGCATTAAGAATGGTGCTGTGTCCTACAAAAGTAATGTTTTGTGTATGGTGGGACTACAAAGGAATGGAATATTATAAAATGTTGCCATCAAATTTGGAAATGTAACGTTCGCTAATGACAGTTTTAAATGCAGAAATTGAAGAAAAGTATCAAACTGACCAATGTTGGAGTTGTATTCCATCATGAAAGTCTATGAATGTCTCCCTTCCACTATATTCACTGGAACTTGCCCTCTTGGATTTTGATCTCTTCAAGTCACTTCAAAATTCTGTGAAGGGCATTGATTTAATTTCTTTGGAGACTCAAATAATACGTTGATAACTTTGAATAAAACTAATGACTTTTTTAAAAAAAATAATTTTACATCTGCCTGAAAGATGCTCATTCATAGAATCAAATTATGCTTATGTGATTCAGTGAAAGTTTTATATGTTTTTGTACTGCTTCAGTTGTATTTATCATAAAACTAACTAAATAACTTTTCGGATATTATTTATTGATAAATAAAACTTAGAAACTGCAGAAATTTTAAATAGAAAACTATAGAAATTTTAAATATTTTGATATTTATTTGAATTCAGAGCATTTGACCTAAACTGCACTATTCATTATAGATATCTATGGTTTGCTGCTATTCTTGAAATATGACCCTTATGATAGCAGACAATGGTTTCATGAACTCCTCTGGAGAACCTTTGGTTAATGGAAATATTGATCCTATGGTTTCTGTGTTGAACCAGGTAATGTGGCGAACTTCAAAGAAAAATGTCATTGAACAGGTAAGTAAAACGTAAAATGACTCCATTATTATCGAAAATTAATATTTAGATCTTTTAAGATTCAATTTATATATGGAAATTCATTTAGGTGTGCCAAATTTAACAATACTAGAAAGCATTTTATTACATTTATAACTTATAGCCTTAAAGATTAGTTTTGTGTTTACAATGTTTCTGTACAAGGGAAGCGATTTTTTGATTGTATAACGTGAATGGGAAGTTCAATCTAGGTTAGAGTCTAGAAGAATGGCCTGGCGATATGGAGCTTTTTGTGGCTTTCCGCTTGTGTAACGTGAATATGATCCAGTTTCACTTAGCAAGCCATTGACGAAAACATTCTTTCCCTGATGACTGCCGTCGTGTGCTTTGCCATATCCAAATACTCTAACCTGATAACTCACTAGCGACATTTTAAACTGAGGCCTTCGATGAAATTTTGTTATTATTTTTTATTTTCTAAAAACTGAGTAATTAAAAAGAATTTTTAATATGTTTTATGTCACGTCTTTTAATTTCCCACACTTTCGTTTGTTTGGGAATTTTAAACACCTCTATGTGTTTCAGTCCTTTTGCTTCTGTTTCCCATTCAATTTTACAATATAGTTAAGAAAAACAGTCAAAAATTTGAATCCTTATGAACCCACACTGAATTTTTTGTCAGAATAAAAATACGAAATGGAAAAATTCATATTTGATGCAATATTTTATTATCATTGCAGACGCGATTGAATTTGACAAAGCAAGTCAGAAATTATTTCAGAATTTGGCCTAGTCAAAAAATAAACAGAAAAGTCAAAATAAGCAGTAACATATAAAAATCAAATGAATATTAATCTGGTATTTAACTTTCAATTCTTAGCTACACAGACGGATGATTTAATGGAATTTGGTAAATATACCCCAGGAATGGAGATTTTCTAACGATGTACTTTTTTAGTTTTCCTTTTAGGCAGCTGAAGAGAAAAACAAAAACTTTACTATAGAAATGATATATATATATAACAAATGGATATTTAATAATTGAAAATACTCGATTGATTGAGGAAAAATTGCACACACAAAGTTCATGATTACCATGAATTTACTTGCAGCGCTGTTTCAGACCCACCAGCGGCCGAGCGGTAAAGTCGCTGAACACTGGTAGTTCGGTCCGAGGTTCGAATCCCGCGAACGGGCTGGCTGCATGGGCGTTTTCGTGGTTTTCCGCATGTGTAACGTGTATACGAGCCAGTTTCCCTTAGAAAGTCCTCCACGAAGGCATCCCTCCTCTTAGGCAGATAGCCCTCGAGGCTTTGCCATAATCACACACACACACGCTACGCTGTTTCACATCCAAGAAAAGACCTCGCTACTGGCCATATGGATAAGACCACTGAAAACAAGTAGTTCAACTTTAAGATCTTTTAAATCTTAGCGAAATAACTGACTCATGAGACGTGTTTTTTATATGTAAATACAAGCCACTTTCTCTCCGCCGGCAAAGTCATTACTCCATTAAGGAAAATAAGCTTTGAATACTTTGCTCTGTACAGTTAGCCAACCATCCATGAAATAATTGCAATTTCTTTTTCCTAACCACTGAATATTAAATTTAAATATAATGACTTTTTATCCCAAAAATGTAGATTATTGCTTTCAAAACTATTATTAATGATATAAAATTTAGACTTTCTTTGCATACTTTTTAAAAATTTATTTTATTTGTAATCATTAGTTTTATTTTATATTCATGCATCTAATGCAATAAAATAATTTGCATTTAATCGTTCATCAGAAGTAGCTTAGAACTGATTTAGTTTTTATTTTTAAAAACTCTTAAAAAAAAGAAAGAGAGAGAGAGACTACATTTCACATTTTCAACATAATGTTTTACAAAATTGCATTTTATCATAATGGAATTTCAGACAATGTCAGTAAATCGTGCTGTAATGCCAGTTTAATTAAATGCTCTTATTAAAAATAAAATTTTGTAAATGTAAATGGCTATTTAGAAATATGAATGTGTTGTAAAAGCATGAACCTAGCACACCTGATACCTATAAATTGAATTTATGGGAATATATTTTTTTTTATATTTTAACACAGTTGTATCATAAAACCATTATTAATTGCATTTGAGAAAAAGTTAGCAAAACAACAGCATGGGTTCAGTAAATGGATTTCGAATACAAACAGATACAGGTCCCTCTTCATCTGAAGCAAAGAAATTTGCCAGTGCAGTGGGACGTGTACCTGTTTTTTCTCAAAAGCGACAGAGTTCTTGACCAAATCTAAGCCAAACAGAAGGTTGTTGCTTTTCTAATTTTATGTTTTGCTTCGGCGTGTTTCTCTTCTGTTCATGTTTGACTTGATGCTGCCTATTCAATCAAGGTTTTTCGAAGCTTAATAAATAGCATTTATTATTGGCATGCATTTATTCTATTCTGTGATTTTGAATAAAGCATAGCAATTTTTTAACAGCAGTCATTTGATAAAAAAATATAATGGTAAAATATATACACTCATAATTATGATTTATGAAGTATGTTCACCAACTTACAGGGAATGTTAGAAAAGTAGTTTTAATGGCTTGAGTATAGAGATTGCCTGCAGAAGACGGAGAAAAGTTTGTTATCAATATGCGGCTAATTTATTTGACACATGAAGGAAAAGTGCAGCGATACATCTTAAAGCTAACAGGCATACATACCACGGACAGTAAAATCATTTTATTATTGTAATCAAATGTCACATTTAATATGTATAATTAATTAAACTCTTTATTCATCTACCTTTTTAAATTGTTATGCTTTGAGTGCACACTCGTCTTTTAATGGATGAATACACCCACAAGTGGACATCCAAAACTCTAAAATGAATGAGATAAAAATCTAAAAATATGCCATTTTATGAATGGTTGATATTTTATTGCAAATTATTGTTCAGTAACTTAATATAATTTTTAATGTGATTAAATTTGAACATAGGATTTACATTTTCGGTATTGCGCACTTTTAGAGAGTAGATCGAAAATTACTAAATATCAGAATTTTTCTTTGTGGAAAGCTCAGAAAATTTCTCAAAAGAAGAAAAATGTCAAAAGTTACAGCTTTTGGAACCTCATTCAGAGGAAGGGACAACTTCCCTGACAGGGCGGGAAATTTTTATTACCCTGAGTCAAAATAAAAAAGAATGGGAAAAAAGGAAGAAAAGAACCCACTGGCAGGGTTTCAAGAAGCCCCGCCCGCTGCATTCAAGGATTCTGACTTCGCCTGGTATTACAGACCAAACACTAAGAGTATCGAAAAGGAAAAATGTAGAAGAAATTGTCTTTAATTTTTCGAAAGATTTTCTAATACTGTGTGAAAGTGAAACTCTTACATTATTCTTTAAACTCTTTCAAAAATTAATTTGATGAATAATGCGTAACAATTTAAAGAATGATGTCTAAGTCTTTTCACTATTATTCTTTTTCTTCTTTTATTCTGTAAATGTAAATAACATGGATAAATAAAATAATCAGTTTGTATAGCTTCTTTTTCAGTAACTTCATCAATTTTGAAATTCTAAATCCCATCACCGAGAAAATAATTCAAGCTTATGGTGTTATTCTTCTATAAAATCACTACAATGCGCTTTTTAATTGCTGTTCCACACCCATATCATTAGATATCGCTTTGAAGTCGCTAATGAAGAAAGTGATTGCAAAAATCTTTTAATCTTGCAATCAAATCCATGAATTCCATTATATAATCAAGGCAATCATCTTTGATGTTTGTTAGAGAATATGTGCAGTGACTGCAGGCATCTTGAAATGTGTTCTAATGTGTTCATTGTTTCTGTGTATGAAAGATAAATCATATTTCTTTTCCTTAATATGTTGATCTCAGTTAACTCTGGATTTTTTATTTTCATAAAAGGAAAAATTCTTTAGAATAATTTTATTTTCAAATGCATAATTCCAAAATCGATTGCAACCAAAGGACATAATAATTCAGTAATTTATTTTGCTTTACCACGATGGAGATGCTTCCAATATCAGTATTAAAAAGGTGAAAAACACTTCGAACACTGTCAAAATTTTCACAGATAAAGAAAGTTTTGTTGCTTTTAATTATTTTTCTTCCTTTCATTTGAAAAGTCCAAAATTTGACTACCCCTTCCATCATCAAACAGAAACAGTAAGCTATAATAAATTTTTTACAATTCATTTACAAGAATTCTACCTTCCTTCGAATAAAAACTTCTTTGATGTTTTCCTCAGAATAGTATAGCACAGTTTAGACACTATGATAGTTAGATTAGGTAATTTAATACGGTATATTTTCTCTTCCTTTCCTCATGCCTTTGTAATGTAACTGGAAGCATTCGCGTATTCAAGAGGTTCAATGTTTGAGACCCGGCCAGGGCAATGAATATTTTTCACTTCTCCAGGATGAATAACCTCAAAGAGACTGAAAGTAACTCAGACTTCTTTAAGAAAAAATATCTCGTGTTTACGTTGCACAAGAGGAAACCATTAAAACTCCCATGTAGCCCACCGTTCACAGGGGTTTGAATCCAGGTCAAACTACTAGTGTCATCGGTATCACCGCTCGGTCGATACTATGAAACTGGAGGAATTTTCAATTTCATATCAATGTCCCAGTTGCATTTTCCTACTTCTTTATAATGAAACTGGAAAGTCGAAATATTTTCTTTATTTTATCCTGTTTTTGTTACAAATATATATTTTTTAATTAAAGATTTATCTATATCATTTTGACATGAATGATAACTTCAAATTTCCGTTTTTTTCTTTAATGCATATCCAATGGATTACAATTTTCTTATCAAAAATTCAGTTCCTGAAACACTTACAAGGCACTAGCGTACGTTTCTTTTAGTCTGAATAATTCCTGAAACAGCTATAAACATTGTGATTAGGTTTGATTGTTTATTTAAATGAACATGAGGAAAGAATATAATTATTTATGAGTTTTCTGTGACATAGCATATGAGGGCTATTTAGCCTATGAGGA